TCCATTCACAACTAAAATGGCAGCTTATCGCCTGGAACAGCATAAACTACTATAATACAAAAAGTTAATCTAAATTCACAACATGAGAACTGGTGGGGAGGAACCTTGCTATTAAACTTTCTGACAAATAGCCAGTTGGACAGAGCATTCAGAAAAGATGCTCTGCAGACCATATATGGGAAAACATCTCTAGTTGAAGTGTTAAAGCAATTGTGTCCTTTGGAAAATTTGCACAGTTACTACAAAGGCTGCCCCAGCTGGCCATATAGATATTTTATGGTTGCTCATGAAAATGATGGCAGACCATTTATGAGTATGCCCAAGACATTCTTAAAATTCCAGATGTAAAATTCCAACAAAGGTTGAGGACTTCAATATTAGTGATTCCACATCCAGGACCTAGACACTGGCAGTGAAAATTATGCAGTATCCAAAGAAATTCCCTAATGAAATACACTACAATACTCTGTAAGTATTCACGTGCATACAGAAAACAGATTTTGTAAGGCAGCAGTCAGAGGGAGAAATTCTAAACCCCTCCACTAATTTAGCTCAAAAACAATTGATTGTTGGAAGTTTAGACCTGGTCCAGGAACAAGTTAAAGGAATAAATGGGTATCCAACTGTCATAAAGATGTAATACATAACATTTGAGTCTAAATTCAAATAAAAATATATAACATTTTTTTTATTTGTTTTCTCAAAAATATATAATAGTGTCATCATTTGTAAATAAATGTAATTATTTTGTAAATAAAAGCTAGTGTTGAGTTGTAAAATTTACTATGGTACATAAACATAAAAATTATATTCAGATGTGTTCATGTTGCTCATATAGGTTTATTTAAAGATCTGTTACAATTTTCCATTTATTCTAAATGTATTAGAAATTAGAAACGTTACTATAATGTTTTAGAGAACTAAATGAAAATTGCTTTTAAATTACAGCAAACTTGTAAATTAAAAAAACCTCAAAACATCGATATACTTCTCATCTGCACTTTTAAGAAAAATTGCAATAATAACTTACATGTAAGTGCCATTTAAATGTAAATTATGGTTTTTAAATGGCAAACCTGTAGATAATTTTTTTCCTGTATCTAACTTAAAGACAATTTTAAATAATGAAACAGTCCTTAACATTGAAAGAAAGAAAACTGATTATATAATGTTATATAAATTTAAATACTAGACATTTCCAAAATATTTCATTCAGCAAAATAATATCCGTTTATTAAATGTTAGCTTTTACATTTATTAATATACCAAGTAGGATTATTTCTTTGTGATCAGACTGTTAGAGCAGATTACATAAGACAAAAAGTTTTTAAAATAAATCTATAAATCTCCTAAAATCAGCTTACTTGGAAATATAGTATTTTTCATAGATTTTTTTTTTTGTAAATATACTTTTTTAAAAAAACATAGTGATTTTTTAATTCATTTTTGCCAAAGAATATTGTCAAGGAAAAAACTGAAAAAATATACAAATTCATATGGGACATAGAGAACATCACATTTAAACAATTGTGCTCTCGCTCTTTCTTTCTTTCTTTCTTTTTTTCTCGCTCACTCTCTTTGCATATATGTATATATGCATTTATGTATACATATGCATCTATATACATCTATAGCTATCAATCAATCTGTCTGTCTTGTCTGTTTCTCTATCCACCTATGTATCTCCTTACTGAATAACACTAAAGTATGTGCCAGGCAGCATATAATATATCAATAACAAAGTTTCACTAAGGCACAAAGTAAAGGAAAAAAAATACCTCAAAGATACATATTCATGAAAGAGATTGTCAGTGTGCTAGAGTAAATGTCAGAGAATCTTTAAAGCTTGTTACTACTAGATTTAACTAAAGTTGCTGCCTTGCACAAGAGATAAAATGTTACAAGTATTCATAATGCTATATAAGGCTGCTATTTACAAAATTTCTTGGTAAAATTGGTAAAATTTCTTGATTGAGTGATTGCTATCATGCTTGCCATGTAGAGTGAATTTGTCCAAGAACTCAAGACAACTTTCCTCAGATATAACTAAAAACATACAGAATTTATAGAAGCCACACATAGCCATATTTTATGGCCAAAATTGCATTCTTCAGAGATTTCCATGGAGAAAAGAATACACACATGAAAAAATGTTTTACTAAGTGGTGATCAAATTAAATCTGTTGATGATTCTTACAAATTCAGTTTAACAATTAATACTCAGTGTACTCTTAGTCTACCTTGTAATATTATCTGAAAAATACTCTTAATTTTTGCTGTTATAAAATATGTTAAGCCTTGGAAAGAAAAAACTATGTGGATTAGAAAAAGTCAATGCCCTAAGTGCCATTGAGATAGCAGTATGGGTTGTTCCAGCATATCATATGAATGTTTTACTCAGCAGAAGAGCAAACCAATGCATTTTTGTCTCAATTAACTGGATGCATAAATTAGCTGCATGAACTTACTCCTCCACATTTTCTTGCTTTGGGGGAATTGGGGGGGGGGGTATAGTTTACTATTATACTCAAATCCTATTTCACAGTTAATCTAGAAAAACTTTGTCCAACCTAATGCCTTCCAGATGTATTCCATTTACAGATATATAAGAAATTGACCTTGGATTTCTCTTTCACAGTACATTTTTATCCCAAGTGCTCTCCACTATGACATTGACAGCAAACAGCAAATACGAAGTCAATGGTGATCCTCAGAAATGCTTGTATTTGGGGAAATTCCACAGCTATATACAATAAATTGTGATTTATTATTAGCTTATTGAATGAACTGTGACTTGGCACACTACCTATGTAGATGGTGGGATTTATTGGAAGCTTCTTGATTTGTTCCTTGTTTCGTTTTGCTAGGCTCAGAAGGTGACAGCTTCTAGCCATCTCTGGAACCTTAAAAACTAAACAGGGTCTGGCCTGAATCACTCTGGAATGTAGGCTAAATAGAAGGATCTAGAAGGCAGCAAACCATTTGTATACTACTACTGCATGGATGCTGTCTCCAGGAATCAAACTCAACTATCCCTAATACACTTCCATAAAATTATTTCCTTTTCAAAATAGCTTTATAATATGTAAGTCTGATTCACAAATAAATTCTTGTTGTGGTGCACACACTGTTTTATCAAGCATGTTAATTGGAAGACTAGAATATTTCCAGGACCTCTTGGTCAGTGCTCAGTTCACTTCACTTCCTGGTTTTCATGGATTTACTAAATCTAAATGTATAAAAATTTACTTTCTTGCTACTACTTCTACTGAAGTTGCTCGCTTTTATTTAAGCTATTACTATTGCATTGCAAAAAGTGTTTTTGATTTACAGTTCATATGATGCTTCAATCTAAATGTTATACACCAGTGATGGCTAACCTTTTTGCTGTCATGTGCCAAAAATGAGGGGAGTGGGGGGGTCGCGCCCTCGTGTGCCCACACCCATAATTCAATGCCCCCCAGTGCCCCCCATGCATGCACACATGACCCCCCTGCATGCGCGTGTGACTCCACTGCATTCCCCTGCTTTTGGCACGTGGCGGCAAAAAGGTTACCGGTGGGTCCAGTAGGCCTGTTTTTCGCCCTCCTCAGGCTCCAGAGGCCTGGGGAGGGTGAAAACGGCCTTCCTCATTCTCCCGGAGGCCCTCCGGAGGCTGGAAACAGCCCGTTTCTCGACTTCCAGTAGACCCGGAAGGCCCGAAAATCAGCTGGCCGACGCACACATGCATGCTGGAGCTGAGCTAGGGCAATGCTCGCATGCCCACAGATATGGCTCCGCGTGCCACCCTTGGCACACGTGCCATAGGTTCGCCATCACGGTTATACACTGTTTACCAAGGAAAGTTAAGACAGGTTTATAGATGCCTCTTAATAAAAAGCAAGGAAAAAGACAAAAGTGCCCAAACCCATTGTAGATATTTTGTTTCTCATATTTTTACACCTGTCTCTTTCCCTCTAAGCAAACGTTCACTTGTCAAACATTCAAATTCCCAAAAAGTTTTGCATACACTGTTAGAACATGTGTGTGTGTAACACATTCACAATTTATTAACTTGTCAAGTTTGTTTGTTTTTTGAGTGCCTACATATCAGTTTTTGACTCCTTGCAACTATCAAGACAAGTCCTTGAAATTTTCTCAGCAAGATTCTGGAAGTGGTTTGGCATTATTTTCATCTTCTGAGAGAGTGACTAGCCTAAGGTCATCCAGCTACCTTCATAGAATCATAGGGCTAGATGGGACATTGGAAGTCCATGATTGTCCAATCTTTTCTTCAATATAGTCTTCAATGAAGGAGCACCTACAACCCTGGGAAGCAAGCTATTCCATTATTTAATAGTTTTCACTGTCAGGAAACTATTCTTTAATGAGCCTCCACCCATTGTTTCTTGTCCTACCCTCAGGTGCTGAGGAGAGTAAATCAACACCATCTTCTCTGTAGCAGCTTTTCAAGTATTGCAAGACAGCTACCATGTCTTACCTCAGCCTTCTCTTTGTTACCATACCTAATTCCTTTGGCCGTTTTTTTAGGATGTAGTCTTCAGACCCGTAATTCTTGTTGCTCTTCTTTGCATTCTTTCTAGAATCTCAGCATCCTTTTTGTATTGTGGTGACCACAAGGGGATACAATATTCCAAAGTAGCTTCACCAATGGTATACGAAGTGGTGCTACATATCACTTATTTTTGATACTATGTCAAAAGCAGGACTAGAACTCACAGTCTTCTGGTTTCTTGCCTGACACCTTAACCATTATACCAAAATGGCTCTCTGCAATATACTAACTTGACAACTAAATTACTGCTAACCTTTTCTGGATGGTCAAATCATCCAAATTTGGTTGCAGGCATCAGATTGTCAATCTACGCTCTGAACAAAATGGTAATTTATAAGATTTAAATAAAAGTGATATTAAAGAGCTATACTGGAAAGTATTTTTTAAAATAATAGTTCATCTAATGCTTAAAAATCAAATACGATGAATATATTTATATACTTACTGATTTAATTCTATATCCAGGATGAAAGAAGATCCAAAAGCATCAACCTGGAAGCTGGCTCGAGCAATATGAGTTGACTGCAATATAAAAATAATTGCAATTCGTTAGTTACCACATCATCATCCTAAAAAACAAAATTCTGCATTAATGCATAAGTAGAAAATTATAACTAAGGTTATAACTCTCTCTATAGAAAGAGAAACAAAAAAGGTAGCTGTATCATATTATTCATATTGTGGGTTCCCCCATATTTTAATAACTTCAGAATTTTTACTTTTAAAAAAAAAATTATATGGCTGCCCATTTCACACCAAATGGTATACAATAAAACATTCTATAAAACGACATTAAAAGCAATTAAAAATTCTACAAGACAATATTAAAATATTAAATAATCATACAAGCAAGATCATAAGAAGCAATGCATAGGAATGTTACATATGATGCACTCATCATACGCACACAGATTTTATGTTGCCAGCAAATTCCCAGGCCTGTTGGAAAAAAACACATTTTAAGGGATTTCTAGAAGGTTATAAAGGGTTAACTTCATGTGGGGAGGGGAATGAAAATGGGCAGGTACTGTGGCAGAAAAGGCTTGTTTCTTAGGAAATCTTTCAAAGACATTACTCACAGCATGTCTTTCCTTCTGAACCTGATGGACAGGTAAATATCATTGGGGAGAGGCTGTATCTCAAATAACCTGGCCCCTGCTATGTAAGCCTGCACTTTCAATTGGACCTGAAAGCAAACTGGTAATCAATGTGGCTCATGGAAAAGTGTCATCCTACTAGGGACAGATATAGTTGCCAAGTGCAACCAATTATGGACCAGCTGAACTTCTGAGTACTTTTCAAAAGAGTCTTATGTAGAACATGTGTTCTGACCCAGCTCCCCAAAAATGACAAACCCTCTGACATGAACTCAAATGATTCCTTTATTAGGGATGCCGGCAGCCCCGGCAAAAAGTTTCTCTTGTAAGCTAATAAGTTCGGCCAGCTGGAAGATGAATAGATGTCTGCCACATCTATTCATCTCCGCCCACTGCCTTTTATCCCCAGAGCTAGGGTGGGGCCTCGCTAGCAGCGGTGACTCTTCTTTCCCAGGATCAGCCCACCATTTTCCACTGATCTCCTCTCCTCTGCCTTCTGCGCATCCGCATATCAGGCACTGGACCTAGCTGTTCCTCCTTTTCTTCATCAACCACCTCTAGACCTGGGGGCTGTTGACTCTCCATCTGAGGGCTGCAGATGGCCCAGGCTTCGCCTCTGTCTCTCTCTCTCTCTCTCTGCCAGCTCCATTCCCTCTTCCCCCTCAGAGCTACCAAGTTGCCCTGATGTTGACCCTGACTCCTACGCCTCCTCCTCCTCCTCCTCTGATTCGGCTGCTGGAGGGGCCGGCGGCCAATAGGCCACAACAACATGTTACAGAAGCCCATTTGGAAGGTGAAGAAATTTCTAAAATTGACACAGTGATATTGTATTTATGTTTAATACAGGTAGACCTTAAGTTACAGTAGCAATTGGGACTGGAATTTCCATTACTAAGCAATGCATGATGTCATGTGATTACATCACTTAGCAAGAACAATACCAGCAATCTCAGTTGCCATTATAATACTCAAGGACTATGCAGATTGTTCAGAGATGACCTTGCATGACTGCAACATAGGACAGACTGGAATCCTAGGCAAGCAGGTTGACAGGCGAGAGCTACAGGCAGATACTCTTGAGCATGGGTGGACAGATGTCATGGATGGGGGCTTCTTGAGAAAAAAGTGACAGGAGAGATCATAGAAGCAACTTGTGACCTTCTGCTGGTTTCCCCATTGACTATGCTTATGGAAAACTGGCAGGAATCATGTGACCATGGATTGCTGAAACCATCATAATTGCAAGCCAGTTGCCAAGTACCTGAACTGTGATTACAGTGGAAATGCTGCGATGACCACAATTTCAAGGATCAGTTGTAAGTCTCCCTTATTCAGTGCTGTAACTTTGAAGGGTTGCTGAATTAATAGTTGTAACCTGAGGACAATCTGTAAAACCTTTTAGGAAGCACCAATGTTAGCACCCCTTAGTAAATCAACTGGCATCACTAGGAAGTATGAGTTGCAAAGTAGAACACACAATATTTAAAAATCCAATTTTAAGTTAGCAGTATATCTTTTCTTTCCTACTTTGATCTGCTAAATGGTGTCTGAAATGAAACAGCAAGCCAAAGTAAACTTATCCAGTACACATTAATACTAGATATAAAAGGACTTACAATTGAGCCCTGAAATTTCCCAGAATTCAAAAATCTTTTAATTGACTACTTTACACTAAGGCAATAGATGGAAGAGACATCTATTCATCTGGCCCACACAAAGCTTCTTAAAATAGACTTTAAAAAACATAGAAAATCACTTTCCAATAAGTAAAGATAAGGCCCAAATCATGAGCTTTGTATTGATATGAAACCACACAGGTGATATTACTCAATGATTTTATTTCAATATGCCACATAATAAGTCCCTTCCTTTCATCTCCACACCAATAGTTCAATGCTCAATGTTTCATACTGTTGGCTATTGTGGGACTTCCAGTTGTGAATATGATGGTTTAAATGCTCCTGTCATTCTTGGACAGATGTCGCAGTTGCTTTTTGCTCTCTGAACATTAGGATGATCTTCCTTCTTCCTCCAGATTGAAGAAATCAATCAGAAATCAATCCATGTGGCCCCTGGACTGTTGGCCTTCGAAAATAAATCACTGAAACAGAGGTTCCCTTGATTGGTTGGTGAGTTGAGTGACGGGGGAAAGGGATTTTCATTGAGTTCAAATGCGACATAGCCAAATTTATGTTCATTAGAACCAATCTTCCCCTAAGAGCCTGTCACAAAGAAGATGGGAAGCAGTCTGTTCTCCAAAGTACCCAAAGCCAAAACAAGAAGCAATGGATGGATACCAATCAGGGAGAGAACCAATCTAGAAATAAGGAGAAATTTCCTAACACTTTGAACAATTAACCAGCTTACCTTCAGAATTTGTGGGTGCTCCAATACCAGAAGTTTTTAAGAAGAGATTGGACAATCATTTGTCTGAAATGGTATATAGTCTCCTGGTTCAACAGGGACTAAAATACCTCCAAGGTCCCTCTCAACTGTTTATTCTGTTATAAATTGCTTTTTAGATTTATTCATCTTTGAAGCTAAAGCTGGAGCTTTGGAATAGACAAGTACTTCGCTATGGAGTCTTATTTTTTATTTCTGGAGTTCCATTTAAATTGAAATATTGGAAATTTTTATGGTAATTGCTTGACTTGCAAAAACTTGGAAACAAAAGGGACTAAAAACATTTAAATAGAAAGAATTTTTATTTTTGAAAAATTGGAAATTGAAAACATATTCTTTAATAAATCTAAGTTGTGGAATTATAGTCTTTGCACATTTTTTAAAATCTACTTTACCAACTGGTTGGACATATAAATAAAGGAGTTCATTTTTTAAATCAAGAGCTACTATTTTTATCTTTCACCAGCAAAGCTATAGGCCATGACTATACAGAAAGATACCAGAGAAGGTTCTGGAAATGAACCAATCGCACTGAAAGCAAAAATACATGTCCCAGGATAATGTTGTAGGATCCAATCTGGGTTGGACCCAGACTGAACCTTATGAAAGCAATGTTTGATTATTTGAGTAAAAGACTAACACAAATCTAGAAGCTAAATTTGGAAAAAGTTTAAATAAGATTTCAGGGGAAATAAGCAAGTAAATTACACGATGGACTTTTTAGAGAAAAAAGGGACTTGGAGCTAAAAAGAAGGTTGAATAATTTGACTATGTTGGAACTCAGAGAGAAGAAATTTTGTCTGTGGTTCAGAGTAATTTCGGGAAATCCTTCTGCAAATATATGAAAAAATGTTTACTGAGTTATTGAGCTGTCAGGAGGAAAGGATGGATGAAGAGTTGAATAAGTTGTTTCCCATGAATTCATGTTTTGCTGCAATGAAACAAATACCAAGAGATGTTTTAGCATATTTTCTGAGGAAAAGACAAGGGATCAACTTTTGCAATGTCACTAGGAGGCAAGACTGAAGAGTGATAATGTTGATGTAGTTGTTTTTGGAAAGACTCCTATTATGATCTTGCATAGGAGGAAAGATTATTTCTTCCTAACAGATATTTTGAAGCAAAAAGGATTCCATTTCACTGGGAAAAGTTGGAAGCAATCATTTTTAATTTACAGCAACAAAGATACAGACTAAATATCTTTCAAAAAGCTAAAGACTTTATGGAAAAATGAGCTGGATGAGCTGGATCAAGCTTCACAGGACTGCAATTAACTAAAGAAAAAGGATTTTACTTTGGGTGTTGCAGCTAAAGACTTTGATAAATTTTTCTCTTGAAAATGGATTATAAATTTCTAATATGGAATATAAATGGAGCACATGCTCCTCAAAAGAAAAATTATTTTCACTCTGAGAAATTTGAAGCAAGATATAATCTGTTTACAAAAAACACCAATAAAAAAAGATGCAAAGTATTTCATCTGTAAGACTCCATTAAGAATTTATATCTACAAGTTTTAAAAAGAGTAATGAAGTTATTTTATATATTAATCTAAAATTAAAACTGAAATTATTGATTACAGATGAACATTGTAATATGCTGCAATCAGTTGAAATGCAAAGGTTCTATCTATCTATTATCTATCTATCTATCTCATTTTATTTTTATTTTTATACATCAAGTTTAAAGACCACCCAACTCACTCATGGAGTGACTGAGAATTGTATAATTAAAAATATAAAAATATAAAACATATAAATATATTTCAACAGGAGCAGGTAGAACAATTAACGCTAAAACCTGCAAAGATGAAGTCAGATGAAGTCTCAGAATGAACAAAGACGTGCAACAAATTCAAAGGGAACAAAAAAAGTTTCTTTCAACATATGGTATGTCAAGGTCCACTAAAATGAGAATATGGTAAGGAAGTAATGAAAGCAGAGCTGCTTAATTCATACTTTGCATTAATCTTTACGCAAAAGGAAACTATAGCCCCATAATGGCGAACCTATGGCACGTGTGCCACAGGTGGCACGCAGAGCCATATCTGTGGGCACACGAGCGTTGCCCTAGCTCAGCTCCAGCACACATCTGTGCGCCAGCCAGCTGATTTTTGGGCCTTTTGGACCCACCAGAAATCGGGAAACGGGCCTCACCAGGCTTCTAGAAAGCCTCTGGAGCCTGGGGAGGGCAAAAAATGGGCCTACCAGGCCCACCGTGCCATCATGTGCCAAAACCGGGGGGAGCACAGAGGGGTTATGCATGCATTCGGGAGGGCATTGAATTATGGGTATGGGCACGCGCACACTTGACCCCCCCCCCGCGCTCCCCTCCCCAATTTTGGCATGCAATCGCAAAAAGGTTAGCCATCACTGCTATAGCCCAACCTACCAAAAAAACTACCATAAAAGAAAGACTAAAAATAAGCTAGAAAAATGGTAAACTAGAAAAAAGTGGAATAAACAATATCACCACCAGATGGATTTGTAGCTGGCTGACAAACCATATTCAACGACTAGTCCTTAATGGTATTACATCTACATGGAGGGAAGTAAGCAATGGGTGCAATCTTAGGCCCAGTACTCTTCAATATCTTTATAAATGACTTAGATGAGGGAATAGAAGATGAACTCATCAAATTTGCAGATGACATTAAGCTGGCAGGAATAGCCAACACCCCAGAAGACAAGCTCAGGATCCAAAAAGATCTTGCCAAACTTAAAAATGGGCCGTATCCAACAAAATGAATTTTAATGTGGAGAAAAGCAAAATTTTACATTTAGGCAGAAAAACCAAAAGAATAAGTACAGATTAGGCAAGACCTGGCTCAAAAACAGTTATTGTGAGAGGGACCTAGGAGTCCTAATGGATAATCACTTGAATATGAGCTAGTAGTATGCAGCAGCTGCCAAAAAAGCTAATATAATCCTGTGTTGTATAAACAGAGACATAGAATCAAAATCACATGAAGTATTAGTACCACTATATAAAACCTTAGTAAGACCACACCTGGAATATGCAACCAATTTTGGTCACCACACTACAAAAAAGATATTGAGGCTTTGGAAAAAGTTCAGAGAAGAGATCAGGTCTGGAGACTAAGAAGGAGTAGAGCAGAGGTGGGTTTCAGCAGGTTCTGACCAATTCTGGAGAACCAGTAGTGGAAATTTTGATAGTTCGGAGAACCGGTAGTAAAAATTCTGACTGGCCCCGCCCCCATCTATTCTCTGCTTCCTGAGTCCCAGCTGATCGGGAGGAAATGGGAATTTTCCAGTAACCTTCCCCTGGATTGGGGAGGGAATGGAGATTTTGCAGTATCCTTCCCCTGCCATGCCCACCAAACCAAGCCCACCAAGCCATGCCATGGCCAACAAGCCACACCCACAGAACCGGTAGTAAAAAATTTTGAAACCCACCACTGGAGTAGGGGATGACATGATAGCAGTATTCCAATATTTGAGGGGCTGCCACAATGAAGAGGGGGTCAAATTATTTTCCAAAGCACCAGAGGGCAGGACAAGAAACAATGGACAGAAACTAGTCAAGGAGAGAAGCAACCTAAAATTAAGACAGAACAATTAACCAGTGGAACAGCTTGCCTTCAGAAATCATGGGCACTTCATCCCTGGAGGTTTTTAAGAAGAGATTTGACAGCCACTTGTCTGAAATGGTAGAGGGTCTCCTGCCTGAGCAGGGGGCTGGACTAGAATACCTCGAAGGTCCCTTCCAGCTCTATTCTATTCTATAAAGATGGAGGAGAGCCTTCAAGGGCTAGCCCAGTGATGGCGAACCTTTTCAGTACCGAGTCCCTAAACTGGAACTCATGCACACACGCGCTGGGGCACCGGAAACTCAAAGATCAACTGGCCGGTGCAAATGTGTGCATCGGCCAGCTGGTCTTCGGATTTCCGGTCTCTGGCATGCGTGAAGACCAGCTGGCCAGCACACATGCATGCGCCGGAAAGGAGAACAGCAGCTGGCAACAGCGCGTGCCCACAGAGGGCTCTGCATGCCACCTCTGGTGTGCGTGCCATAGGTTTGCCATCACAGGGCTAGCCAATGCCAAGCTTTTATACTGCCCTATGAGACCCAAGCAAATCAGCAGAACCAGGTCTTCAAACTCTTCTGAACGATCAGGAGAATTGGGTTTGCCTAATCTCTGCCAGAAGGATATTCCAAAGGGCAATAGGAAAAATGTCTTTCTGGATTCTGTCAGTCAAAATTCTTTAACTGATGGCATCTGTAAACTAATTTTCCTGCCTGATAAGATAGGATGAGCTGATGTAATGAGTTCTGCAGGTAACCTGGCCCCAAGTCATGAAGGATTTTAAAAGTCATCTCCAACACCTTGAATTACTGTATATCTGAAAGCAAAAGAAGCATCCAGTGCAGCTTGCACAGCAGAGGTGTTAGATGTCTCATTCGTTGAGTGCCCAAAATTGCTCACATAGCCACATTCTGTATCAGCAGAAGCTTCTGGAGGTTTTTCAAGAGTAGTCATATAAAGCACATTGCAACAATTCAGACAGGACATGACCAGACTGCAAATGACACAGAAAAGGGCCTCCCTTTCCAGGAAGGGGTGTAACCGAAGTGCAGCATGATACTGAGCAAAGATCCTCCTAGCTACAATTGCCATCTGTTGTGTAAGCAGGAGCCATGATTCCAGGAGGACATCCAGTTTACTTGTCAAGTTTCTATGTTCTAAATGAGGATAAAGTGAATTATCTTAATCATTTTACGGACCAGTTGACTACCAAATTTAAAATTGTATTTTACAATTTGTTGTTTAATTGGATAAAAGAGTGAGTGACTTTAAGAAACAATAGGTTATTTGAATTGAAAGGACATGAATGATTAAAGAATTGGATGGCATGGTTACCTGTGATACAACAAAGTTAAGATGAATGTAGATTTCAAAAATCATTTTATTAGGCATGCTATATGAAGAATTTGGAATAGGTAAAAAGCAAAATTGTCTCCTAAAAGCCTTTTATGTTGTCACCTCAAAAAGGTTTTTTTAGAAAGGAAATGATAGTTAAACAAAAATGGAAAACCGATACTGGTTTGCTGAATTTTTCCCAAGTTTAGTCAATCAGAACAGAGCTGGAAGGGATCCTGGAGGTCTTCTAGTTGAACCCCCTGCTCAACAGGAGACTCTATATACCATTAAAAGATAAAACTTGAGCAGGAAGGTTTTACATGCCGTTGATTTTCTTATGACCAGCTAAAGAAAAACTTTAACGTGGATAAGAATTTTGAATTTGAAAAAGGTAAATTGAATTTGATGTAGAGCTTGGTACAAACTATGATCATATTATTGCTAAGATATACAAACTTTTATTGAAAATGGAAACAAAGGAGAAACAAGTTAAAGACTGTATGATAAAATGGGTAAAAAAATATGCATTTTATATACAGTCAGACCAATTGGCAAGTATGTGGGAGAAAAGGTTGAAATTTACATTGAATTATAATCATAGAGAGAATTTTTATAAAATTATGTATCATTAGATAAATTATCACTGGACATTGGATAAATTATCAAAAATGTACAAAGGAACTTCTAATATTTGTTGGAAATTATTATTATTATTATTATTATTATTATTATTATTATTATTATTATTATTAATTTTATTTCTATACCGCCCTTCTCCTGAAGGACTCAGGGCGGTGTACAGCCTGATTAAAAGCACAAAGACAGACAAAATTTAAAAATAATTAAAATTATTAAATAATTGGCTCAATTATAAAACCCCCAAATTTAAAATCCCATATTTAAAACCAATTAAAATCTTTACATTGATAGCCCGGCCTGGCGCAACAACAAGGTTTTGAGGGCACAGCGAAATACACGGAGATCGGAGATCTTACGCATTTCTGGGGGCAGTTCATTCCAAAGGGCAGGGGCTCCCACAGAGAAGGCCCTCCCCCTGGGTGTCGCCAGCTGACATAATTTGGCCAATGGCACCCTGAGGAGACCCCCTCTGTGGGAGCGGACTGGCCGGTGGGAGGCTACTGGTGGCAGAAGACGGTCTCGAAGGTACCCAGGTCCATGTTTCCAAATGTAAACAATGAGGAGATAATTTTTCATCTTTGCTAAAAAAAATACTGGGATCAAATACTGCATGTATTTTGGTACAGATTTTAAAAGAAAATGTACAACTGAAACCTTTCTTTGGGGTTTAATAGAGAAACAAATGGAAACATCTTATGGAACTTTGTTTTTATGTATGATAATGGCAGTCAGACTTGTATGTGCTCAAAAAGGGAAGGACTTAGAAGCACCTGAAAAATGGATGCTGGAATTGATAGGATTAAACTTTTTGCAAGAAACTGGTAAAAAAACCACTGATTTTGCAATTTGATTATTAGCATTATCGGGGATTCTTACTTTTGACTGCAAAGTATGTGAATGATTCTGTGATGAGGGCAGGGCAACAACTAATCAAAATGCTCCTTCAAAGAAGGATTCATTTCTCAGGAAGATATTCCCCCATTTCCCAAAACCCTTCAGCATATTTCTTCAAAATTGCCTGATTAGGATGGACGTGCTAAAGTGGGGCACCCTCCAATTTCAGATTGGAAACTAAATAAAGACTTTTAGGAAAGTTGCAAACCAACCTATCATATTTCATATCTCCTGGACTGGTTCATAACTCAGAATGCTTTAGGTACGATTTTTTTTTGAGAGGGGTGTGTGTGTGTATGTGTACACTTCTCAAAAAAATTGTATCTAAAGCACAATGGACTACAATACACTATAAGCAATAGTATATATTATGGGATGCAAATGTTTTTATTTTATAAACAAAAGTGTAGGGGTAGTTCTTGAGAAACACTTAACAACCATTCACAATTACAGCCAACACTCTATATCAGTGGT